CATCAATATTCGGGCTGGTACGATGCACGCATTGAGAAGTAGGCTCGCACTGACTGCACGGTTACTAATCCAATATGGCGTCGGGCTCGGTTACTATTCCAATATGGCGTCGGGCGCGGTTACTATTCCAACATGGCGTCGGACTCGGGCGCTCTCGCTCGGGCCGACTAATAAACCAATTTCGATATATTAAAATTCTGCCTAAAACAATGGACCTCAGTACGAGGCTCTGGGGAATAACTACAGAGTTTGTGGGGTTTATTCCCCAGAGCCTCGTGCTGAGGTCCATTGTTTTCGGCTGAATTTTAATATATCGAAATTGGTCTATTACGAGCAGTGTCTACACCTGAGTGAGTGAGTGACACATTTGCATATCGGAGTCCCCGCAACAAACACGTTTCTACGCTTCGCGCATCCACGAGTTTAAAAACGTAGTAAAAAGAGGGCTCACCGTGCTTGTTTTCACGCCCTAATGTTGACAAATACGGTTATTTATGTGACTTTTGGTAATTTCCGTGCGCAACAAATAAGCTCGATAATTTTTCAATGCAGCGTGTTATATCACACAGAGTTTGACATCCTTTGATTGTTTATTGATCTACGTCCCAGAAAAAATGTCCTAAAATACCCTGCATTTTTTTTATCCTTTAAAGGAAACATAATTTGGACATGCGCTGTTGGGCCCGTCATGTCTCCCTCTGTAGTATTTTAATCATTTGCCAAACAAGTAGCCATAGATTTCTGCAAACTTTTTTCTCAGTTATTGAGGATATTGTTCTCACTGAAATTATGAAATAAAAAGTGGGGGTCACCGTCCTCTTTTAAGAGAAAAGGAGCATTTATTTCGCTATCGAGCTTAGTTTGAGGGAAATCTCTTACGTTTTGTACGCGCACGCGCTCATGTGCGCGCGCTAATGATGCGGAAATCGTGCGCAGTAGGGATGCGCAATGCAATACTACGGAATCACCTTAAGACAAAAATCTTTTCAACACCGCCCTCCTACCTCATAACGGAAGGATACTGTCATCACAGCATAGAAGACAAACATGCCACCAAATCCTACCAGCAGTAATGACCTTCTTCCAATAATTTCAACTGTTTTAACCTGAAATTATACAATGTTACTATTGGGAAAGCTTTCAGAACCAAACAGATGTACACAAACAGATACATGTACATCAGAATGCATGGTCTGGATCAAAATTAAAAGACACAAGAAAGTAAACCAGATACAGCTCGAGTGGAGCAATACATACAAACCAGCTACACATTTAGAGAAGATTCTGCAATACGTAACATATTGTCATCTAGTGTACTAGAAACAAGTAAATGGTTAATTAAGAGAGAGAGGGAGATTTTACAGCAGTTTATGAAGAAAAGCATCGAAACTCTAAAGGAGTTCTAACAGGTTGCTGCACCTGCTACAGTATGTTAAACAAACACCTTCAGGAAAATGAAGGACAAGCGACGCCCCATACTCATAGAAACCTGTGAGTCGTTTTTCTCACGGTGAAAATAGCAGGCGGTATTGCTCGTGGGCGCGTATACACGACGATGATGGCGACGACGACCTTGTCGCACAACATGGCGGCCATACTCCAGACCAGCTAATAGGACATGCGGCCTTAGTTAACATTGTACATCTTTGATATTGGACATCCATTCTATGGTCCATTGACACCTGTCAAAACAAGGTATCCACTGACCAGTATCACATGACCATATTGCGGGCTCAAGTTTTGTGCTCATCGAGGCCACGTGTTTTTTTAAGTTAACCGCTTTTCGATTAGATCGCAGGCTCAAACAAGGTCAACTTACTGTAATTAGGGCTGCGTTGTTCGGAACTAACCCGGTTAACGCTGACCCAGGATTAAAAGTTAACCGTACTATAAATTTTTCTCGTATAAAAATGTTTTTCACTGCTTCTGTTTTGTGTAGTTTGAGATTATTCAAACTCAGAAGGTCAAACAATATAAGCAGAAAACCTCACCAACAAGTTAAAAAAAAACCCCTTAAATCAACTATCCTGTGTTTGCTTAATCAGGCTTTAAACAACCTGGCTTGGCTAAATCTAGATTATAATTATACACAACATCAAGTAAAGCAGTCAAATCTACGTGGGTATCAAAACACTTTGACCCAGGAAATAACTGTAAATCGACATTTTTCCAATCGTTGACTCTGAATGGCAAACCTTTAGGGGACCTACAACTTTTAAAGACAAAATTGAATAACTTGTCAAAATAGGACTCATCACAGCAGAAATCTCACAATTGCTATGGGTAATCAAATGCGTGTTTAATCTGTGTTTATCTTCACCAAGAAGAAACCTTTCAACTTCAACACAATTTACTTCATTCAACCAAAATGCCAAAATACGCAGCTAAAATCTACCACGAAACAGATTTTCTCAGTACTGAAGGACATTCATTGACTTCTCCAGGTTGCTGTCTGATGCTAGCTTCTTCAGTAGGCATTTTTCAAGTTAGATTTGCCGAAACGTTTGCCGCGTTTTGTTAGTGAGTGGTGAACTTACCTAATCTTTGGCAAAAGTATAATGCTTGCACCTTTGGTTTTAAAAAGTAACAAAAGATGTTGGAGGTTCTTAGGACATCTCGTTGGGTCCTTCCTCGTGTTTCGCTTTGGACTACTAAGCATTTTCACATTTATTTTTCAACTCGAATTTTGTAGTGCCGTTGTGATCGGCTCCAGCATAATTCACTTTAAGCTTGAGTTTATTTTGTCCGCACTGTCAATCATTTCCAATTTAAGCATTTTGCACTAAATTTCACTTTTCTGCATTGATTTAGCCAATCACAAAACAGAAATCATTGCAGCTTGTTAATTACAAATATTAAGAGGTAAACTGAGAAGGCTTTTAACGTATTTTTAATTGTATTTTATCATATTTTGTATAAGTTGTATTGGATGTATATTATTAGATCAGAAACAGTTTTTGATGTGAACATGAATTCTATTGATCACTACCTTTCAACAAGTTCTTCATCTCCAATAAAAGTGTTAGTAGACTTGTTTCCAACAAATCATGGTGCTCTTTTTGTTATAAAAAAAAAAATCATGGTATAGAGCGTTTTCATTGTCACGCGCAATAGAAAATAAAATAAAAAACGATTCAGTGGATAAGGTCAAGAAATTGTGATATTACAGAAGATAAATAAAGAATACAGTTCTCCAAGTTTAAGGTGTGTACGTTGTCCCAAAGTTGAGATAAATGTTCCGCGCAAATTTACAAAGCCTAGTATGGAGCCGCCATGTTGGTGTTCCTCTGTGGTTCACCAATATGGCTGCCGGAAACTTACTTTGGTTATCTGGGACAATGATTATCTCCGCGGAACAAATAAACATTCAAATAAGCCCTTTTCCAAATACGACAACGTCTTAAATGGCTCAAAATCACGAGATAAATACATATTCTTCGACAAACGCGATCGTAGCTTTATGCCACGCACCAGCATAACTTTGAAATTCAAAACGCGCTGGTTTCCAAACGAAGGGCGCTATGGCTGGTTTGCAGTGTCACGCCATCAAAAATAAGAGATATGAAAGATGATTGATATATAAATAACCTCGCCAAGTTTTAAGTCTGTACGGTTTTCCATCCGCGCGTTATTCGGAAAAGTGTTTCACTCAAATTTATAGAGCTTTGTATGGTGTTGCAATGTTTGTACCCCTCGGAGGGACACAAACATGGCGGCCGTAACAGAAACATCTGTCATTGAGTTTTGCCATTGAAACGAAACGTTATTACTCTAGAGCTCCGATACATTGAAATTAATACTTTGCCTAGAGCAAAAACTGTTTAGTTAGTAAAAACTTGAGCAATAACTCATCTTTTGACTTACTCGACAGCCTTATCGAACCGCCATTTTAATGCCACGCAACGCATAAACTTGGAAATTCCGACGTGCTCCATTACATAATGAGGAACCCTGTCGGGCTTAAACGTTGCAAATCGTCAAGTTATTAGAGGGTCTTACATCTGATGAAACTAAAACTTCACGAGGATTGGTAATTTCTTATTTTAGAAATTGATGACGTCACATGAAAACCGACAATGAGCTGAGAAGTTGTAAGCAGATGTAACTTTAGCACCTCTGATGCCCGGTGGGGATAAAAACTTTGCTGGCCCTTTAGTTTTGGATTTAAGAATTTGATGACGTCACGTGAAAACGCTCTATTCTAAGGCGTCCAAAATGTTGCGTATTGAATGGAAGTCCCAAATAACTTTTTTTTTCTTTTCGTGAATTTGAAGAATGTTCTGATTTCAAAACAAATTTCTATACTTTCCAAGGGCTTACGTCTGTACTACACCTCTAGAGGAGATCAACAAAGTTACCTCCTCCTTAATAGATACACCTACTTCAAATATTTTCATAAAAAGTTCTTAAAGAGTAAAGACATACATGTACAAAGTATCATAATAGTAATTGGACCGTGTGGAGCACAACCCAGGGAGTAATCAGTCGCGAGTAACTTCAAAATTGGATGAGCATGAAGCGCACGGCCGATTTGAAGTCACGAACGCGATCACTTCCTGACTTGTGCAACTCAAGGTCCAATTGCTAATTAATCGCATCTATAACAAATTTTGAAATTATAAATTTGAAAAGTTCTATTTTACTACCAGCAACTATTTTAGTATTGACACTCAAATTAAGGTATGCACTCACTCATTCATATTTATATACATTTCGCCGATAACAGTAAAATATAAAACTTCAAGGTAAAAAGCTGTTAAAATTATGAGTCTAAACGTTTTCGATCTGTTTGATCATCATCAGAGTGAAATATATAATAAAGCTATCAAAGCATATTATTTCACTCTTCTGATGATCAAACAGATCGAAAACGTTTAGACTCATAATTTTAACAGCTTTTTACCTTAAAGTTTTATATTTTTCATTCATATTTGTTACATGAAAAACCTTGGAGGACAATATATACCGAGTTACATTAATCAAGAGACAATTATTAAAAATTGGGATATTATTTTTTTCCTAATGTATTTCTGACACAAGTAACTCATTATCTGACCAAAATAAAAGTCTGGATATTGCACACACATCCTAAAGCTATCAAAGCATGTACTTACTGTAACACCAGTCATAATTACACTGACAACACCAACAGCGCAAGATGCTACACGACTTTCTTTAACACCAGCCTTCTCAAGTATTGATGTGGAATAATAAAACACCTATGAAAGTTATTCACAGTTAGCTAGTAGAAATTGAAATTCCACTGTATCATTGAAATCTCTGTCAACCTCATCAGGTGTGGCATATTTACAGTAATTTCTGAAATCATATGCACATTTGCTGTAGGTTTCACAGAGTGTTTCACAAGGTCTTTTAAGCTTAATGCTGAGGTTCAACCCCCTTGGATGGCTGCTCAAAAGTACATCATGAGACATTTCTTTTGCCAATTATAAACCCAACCTGGACTTGAAAAGGTAAATTATTTCGTTTCTTCATACAACAAATCATCCACATTCACAAATTTCACCTGTCCTTACTGTAAATGGGCACTCGTGGTAGCCCTTCACTACAGCCTCTATCAATAAAACGTTCATTTCGCCCGTCACCTTACGACTCGCAAAACTTCAGCGTAACGTTTCCGCTTGCGGCTAAGAATTATAAATCGTTCATTTATTAAAACCGATAATTAAAATCGATGCAATTAAGGTAGCTTACTACAGTTTTCATGGATTATGATAGCCCAATTTCTAACTCTTTTGAAAAACGTTCCGAGATGCTTTTCCTTTCTCTATTTAATGTTTGCGGAAGTCTCTATTTAATGTTTGCTGAAGTCTTTTACCATTCTATTTGAAACTTGAACAATTAAACGTCAACAAATGGCCAAAATGAACGACCGAGTACCTAAGGAGAGACTGGGANATTAAATGTCAAGGGCGCTGCATGTGATCTTTTTTATGTATCCATGGGTATTAACCACGGGAAATTTACCTCCGGAAATATTGGTCATACCCACTAAATGCAGTATCCCGTGGTAAAAGGGTTATTTACCACGGCAAAGAGTTCCGTGTAGCCGAACCCTAAGGGAGCGAATTTCCTGGAAACTAAAGTTCAAACATGTTTCTCCTGTAACCGTTTTTTCGTCTGCAGCTTGGGATCTTATAACCAGGACTCTACGGTATCTTTACTCGATGTTCATCACTACAAAACGACAAAATGTATAAATATTCACTTTAAAGCTACAATTTCTCTGATTTATCCACAGCGCAACAACTCTTATTTGACTGAAATCCCACACAAGTTCGCATTGCGGACCTATTTTTATTTTACTTTGCATGAATGTTAAATCAGAGCCAATTTCTTATTCCTGAAATTCTGAGGTGGCGTCATATGGGTAGATTTTGAGAAAAACGTAATTTAACCTACAGTCTCTTCTTAGATACACAGTCGTTCATTTTGGCGATTTGTTGACGTTCAATTGTGCAAGTTTCACATAAAATGGTAAAAGACCCAAGCAAACAGTAAATAGAGAAAGGAACCTTGGAACATTTTTGAAACGATTTAGAAGTTGGGCTGTTATAATCCATCAAAACTGTAGTAAGCCACCTTAAGAAGACTTGCATTGTGAGTATCGGTTTTCATTGATTGGTGAAACCAATCGATATTAATTGATTAATTTTTATCGATTATAAAATCATTATGTACATGTATTCAGATATCAGGTCACACTGCCTACAGCTGTACTTGGGATAAAATTGCTTGCTTGTTACTCTTGCCAAAAGACCCATTGAATGTGGTTCACAAGAGACAAAACCCTTATAATTATTAGGTAAAAACTTTCCCAAACAATTTGAAGACTCCAAGCAGCAGATGGTTACTGCCGTGGTGTCAGAGATTACGAGTAATGATCAAAATGCTGATATCCTGGTCGATCTCTAAATTTCTCCAACAAAATTTCCACTCCCTAGTAACTAAAAATCTGCTGAGAATGATGTTCTTTGAAAGGTATGCTAAAAGCAGCTACATATATAAGCAGCAAATGTATGAAATGGGAAACGTTTTTCTAAGAGGCAATAAACGTATTTTTTTATGTTTATGGAGCCTTGATCAATATCAAACAATTACTACTGTGTAAATTGATGATCAGTTGATCATTATGCCAGCTGATAAGTCATTAATGATGGTCACACAAAAGGAAAGTATATACGAAGGTTTTAAAATACATGTATGGCAAATTCAGAATCAATATAAACACAACACCGTCTTTCAACCGTTTGACTGAGGTAAATTTGTAAATTTTCATCCTGGCTTTTTGGTCTGTAACTGTAGGGTTTTGTTTCATTCCTCTCACAGGCAATTCAGAATTCTATCCTTTCAGTTCATACATGCCAATGTGCAAATGATTTCAGGTGGTACTGTATACATACATGTACCAATCCTACCATAAACGTCTGAAAGTAAACATGTATACTAAAAATCCATGGGATTACATTACATGTGCATGATGAATAATTTTCTTATAACAGGCCCCTTGCAGTGCAACTTGCTTTACATTTCATGTCATAACAGACATATCACATTTTACTGTAATTCAGTAGTTTTACATGTGCAATTGCTAGATTTGCCAATACAAAATCCTCTCCAACAAAACTCGGCCATTTTTACAGTCTCTCCCACAAAAACCGTGAACACCAGAGAGAATTTCTGGAATATTTATTGTTTTGCGACCAATCATTCACAGGTATTCTTTTCTAATACACAAGCTCTGAAATAGAAAAACAACAATTTCAGTATTTGACAACCGTAAAATTGAAGATTTGTCATGGAAGAGAAAAGCCAGCTTGTTATTTCGTGCCAAGTTGTGATTACTCCAAACCTTTCATTGTCTATCAACTTTATTGGTCACAAAATTACAATATAATTAAAAGAAGAAAAGGACCAATAGGAATTGCGCGAACGGGAAAATAAAGTTACCCATGCG